TTTTTTTTCCCAAAACTTTATCTTCAAAATAAGGGTGCGTCTTATATTCCGAAAAATACGGTATATGTGTACCACAATCTTCAAACGAAAATGTTTGCTTTATAGAAGATACAGAATAAAGAACTGCACATTGTTTTCTGACTAGCAGGCAACTATATCAACAATTTATAATGTGTGAAGAAAATTGTTTTAAAAGTAAAATCAATATAAATGACAAAAATTACAAGTTATACGTTTTTTGTGCTATTTACTCAATTTAATGTTTCACATTGCCCTTGATTTGATGTGATAAACTTCTTAGGTATATTAAACTTGAAATAAACACCGATTAACTTTCTGTTATAGTTATCGAAAGCAAGAAATTATAGGAATGGAAAGCACATGCAATCACATTCAAACTCTGTTGTTGTTACATTACAGGTAAGTAAATTTAGTTTTATTAATCATTGGTGTATGACTATGTAACATTCTTTTATACCTTTTAGACATTGTTTGACACAACAGGCAGGGATTTTTGTTAAAAATTAAGAAATTTATTACCTTATTGAGAAGAGTACGACAGTTATTCAGAATAAAATTATCAAGTGTTTTGAACAACTAGTAAAATCAGGTATAAAGCAGGATTAACATGTTAGTTTTAAGGTTGTTGAAATAACTTTTACCTTTGGTCAGTTATCTTCCAAAATATTCTGAGAAGGCAAGAAGGAGTTAGAATTTATAATTCAGTTTCTAAGTGCTAAAAACAAGATCTACTCAAGTTGTGGATATATATATACATATACAGTGTTTAGATCACCACTATGTCTGTCAGATCCCAGTCAATCTGATGAGCCCTGGTACTGGAAGAAAATCTTGTCACTGGATATGACACATGTATTGTGGTTGGCATATAACATATTTTCCTTTGATTTCACTTATGAGTTCTTAGAATAATCATTAACCAAGACAAGAGACTTTTTTATGGTTTTCATGCAGTATTAATTTGTTTGTTTTTAATAGCTTGAAGGAGCTTCACCTTTGTAATTACTCATAAACATTTTTATAATTTAGTTCATTGATTTGGGGGTGGGTGGGATAACTTTGACAGTTAGAGTTGCAAAAATAGGAATATGAAGTTTATTTCTGACCATTAGTTTTAAAGTAAGATTCTCAGTGGTCAGGATAACCTATGCTGAACAATTAAGTACCTTAATTTTAAAAAAATACACAGGTTTCAGCTTCTTTGGAAGTTTGTTGTTAATCATGTTTCATTGTAATTTTTGAAACTGTTAACAAATCGGTTCTTAATACAATGTGTAGTTGTACTATGCTGTCACATGTATGCTAAAATGTGTTCTGTTTATTCTGTTTGTTTGTTTTTTTCAGTCAAAACTAGCTTCAATGTCAAATAACTTCAAACAAGTTTTAGAAGTTCGAACAGAGGTGAGAATTTCTTAGAAACAGTAATCATTACAGTTGTTAGTGAACAACCTAATTAAGTTCTAATATATACCTACATCTTGTCCAGCTTTTTTTATTGCTATATGAAATTATGGGTTATATTTCTGACAATTTACAATACTAAATAATGTATTGTTTGAGAAGCTCTAATGGTGTTGTTCTTAGTAATTTCGAAAAATTTTGCTTTATAGCATGTTAAACATCTTGTAATTTTGATTTTAAAAAATGTCAGCTAGTCAGAGGTATAATTCCCCCAGATGGGAGTACAGTGTATGTTTAGCAGCATATCATAGTTTGAACTTTAGATCTTCTGATCTGCAGCATGCCATGCTAACCACCAAGGCTACATCCAAGAAAAATTAAATAAAATATTAGATGTTAGGGTTAATTTCATTAATGCGTACAGTGATCCACTGTAAAACAGTCAACAATGTATTGTGGTGAAACATACAGTAAAAAGTTACTTGTATCAACGAATACTATAATTATCTTGTTTATATAGTTACAAAGAGCTGTTTTACAGAAAATCACTTAAATATTTTCATGGCAAAATGAAATATTATTTTTTGGGTTGCAGTGTTATAGTAAATTTTCTTTAATGATAAAAATAATTATTATTTAAGTATGATAAATTAAAAGAGTCATATGTTACTGTTATATGATTTATGTGCAGTTTTTCAATTTCTTTTCATTTGCTACAGAATTTAAAGCACCAAAAGAATCGAAGAGAACAGTTTACTCAAGGAACTGTTGCAGCTACTCTTCCGCCATCTGCTATTGCAGGTCACACAGGTTCAATTCTGTTGGCAGATGAAAGAGCAAGCTCCACAAATGCTGAGGTTGCTATAAATATGGACCACTCAAAAAATTACTATCAACAACAGATGGAGCTGATTGATGAACAGGTAATTTTAGATCTAGGTTTTCACTATCTTAGACAGTAGGTGGGTGATACTACAAAAGAAGACCCAAAATCATGACTTTTGGCACAATTTCCTTCGGGGGGTGGGGTTCAGGGGCATGCTCTCCTTTAGCATTTTGAAAATATAGATTATCAGAAACACCATTTCCCATATTCTGTGGCCTATTTTTTCAAACAGCAACATGAACAGAAATGACATCATGGAAAGAGAACAATGCTTGAATTTCCATTATATATATTTTATTTTATTTTTGCACTAAGAGTGTGACACTTCAGTTTAACACTTTTTTTTTATGCAATGACTCTGCTTTCTCCATCAATCAGAGGATGCCTATTAAGTAGGCAAAACTAGTCAACAAATTTGAAGTTTTGTTCTGTAATATACTGACTTAACCCTATTGCCCTGGGTATCCTTTACTGCATGACACAAGGTTTTAGTGTCTCACATTCAAAGTTTTATTAAACTACTTTTTGTTTATGTTATACCAATTAGAATAGCATAAAATCTCAGCTAATAATCCATATTTTAACAGTTTACAAGTATTAAGTTCTTCATTCTACAAGGTAATATTTAAAAAAATCCTGAATTTCCACTACCGTGGACCACATGACAATTTCTTCTTAGCATATCATCATCCTTATTTTATCCACCACCCCTTGAAAAAGTATGAAATTAAGTTTAAATTACTCTCTATAAAATCGTCATTGCTCAGACAAACCATAATTGTTATAGGCTTCAATTTTGTTTGGTTACAGAGCTATTGAATAGAAAATTAGAACCCTCCCTCCACACCTACCTTTCACATCCTCTCTTTCAGGATTCGTTAATAGTTCTCTCTTACATTTAATTATGTATTACCTACAACCAATAGAAAGTCAAGTTTTCATCTATGTTCCTTGGTGCATTATTTTAATTAAATAAAAATTATTAAGTGCATTACTATTAGTACTATAAAAAAATTATGTTTAAATGTTATCGACAATCGAGAGCAAGAAAAAAGAAGATTGGGTAAGTACTTTATTTCTTGTTTTTTTCATACTTATTCTTTATTCATTATTATAAAAGTAACTAAAATCGAAAAAATATGGATCTTTTTAAGTTATTTAAGACTAGATTAGGTAAAATAAGTAATAATAATATAATTAAAATGGTTTACGAGGCACACACGCAAACAGCTCGTGGTAATGTAACTCGATAGCTTAACGTGACCTACGCATTCTCCGAGTGATTTACAACTTTTTATGACACAGATAGTAGTTAGACACGGTTCAAAGCAATAAAACAATAAAATTTAATTATAAAT